GCTTCTGGGCGCTCTAGGCTCTCCATCACCTGGTGAGAGGGGGAGAAAGGAGGTTTGGAGGGGGAATAGCACATGGAGATGGAGCAGGGGGGTGTTGGGGAAGAAAGGCGGGAATGGCACATGCCCTGCGACCCATGTGCTGTTCCCCCTCTCCCCCCTCTTCCCCCCAGCGGGAGGTATTCCAAATTTGTGCACCCAATCGCGTCCTCCTTCTCCTGCTGCTCGTTCTCCTACTCCTGCTCCTGCTCCTGCTCCTGCTCCTGCTCCTGCTCCTGCTCCCTACAGGCGGGGATTAAGGTCGGGGGAAACGGGGAGACGGGGGAAAAACGATGGGAATAGGGGCTCGGGATAACAGGTGCGTTGTGGTTGGAACGAAAGGTGGTTGGGATTGGGGGAAACGGGGGGTGGGAGCAGGAGAGAACCCACACTGGACAACCTAGAACAACCCACCGAACAGCCTATGACGAAGCCCTCGCGCTGCTTGTCCCACGGCTGCGACGCCCAACCCACCAGAAAGCCTACCATGGCGCCAACTGGACTGTAACAAACCATAAGTCACGCCAAAACAACGCACCAGTCCGCCACAACTTACCAGCACGCCGGAGCCCTCGCCCATGACGAAGCCCTCGCGCTGCTTGTCCCATGACCTAGCATGCACCAGCACCCATCACACCACACCCACCAGCACGCCGGAGCCCTCGCCCATGACGAAGCCCTCGCGCTGCTTGTCCCATGACCTAGCATGCACCAGCACCCATCACACCACACCCACCAGCACACCGGAGCCCTCGCCCATGACGAAGCCCTCGCGCTGCTTGTCCCATGACCTAGCATGCACCAGCACCCATCACACCACACCCACCAGCACACCGGAGCCCTCGCCCATGACGAAGCCCTCGCGCTGCTTGTCCCATGACCTAGCATGCACCAGCACCAATCACACCACACCCACCAGCACACCGGAGCCCTCGCCCATGACGAAGCCCTCGCGCTGCTTGTCCCATGACCTAGCATGCACCAGCACCCATCACACCACACCCACCAGCACGCCGGAGCCCTCGCCCATGACGAAGCCCTCGCGCTGCTTGTCCCACGGCCGCGACGCCGTCTGCGGGGAGTCGTTGCGCTGGGAGAGCGCGCGGCACGCCACGAAGCCGCCGAGCCCGATGGGGATGATGGCGGCTTCAGTTCCGCCCGCCACGATGATGTCCGCCTCGCCCCTGAGGAGAGGGAAGGGGGGAGGATAAGGGGGATTCGCAAAGTGTCAAGACCAGCCCGATGGGGATGATGGCGGCTTCAGTCCCGCCCGCCACAATGATGTCCGCCTCGCCCCTGTGGAGCAAAGGCGTGAGGAGTGAGCCAGGGGGAAGAGGGGAAAAGTGGGATTCGTTAGTTGACTCGACAAGCCACCCAGCCCGATGGGGATGATGGCGGCTTCAGTCCCGCCCGCCACGATGATGTCCGCCTCGCCCCTGAGAAGAGAGCCAGGGGAGGAGGGGAGATGGTTGGAGAGGGGGAAGGGGCGGTTTGTTAGTTGGCCCAATAACCAGACCAGCTGGATGGGGATGATGGCGGCCTCTGTGTCCCTCCCCGATATGATGTCCGCCCCCTTCGGTAAGGGAGGGGGGATGGCGCGACGAGGTGGGGGGAACGAGAAAGGGAACAACGAAGCTGGGGGGATTTCTGAGGCGTTCGCGCCTAAAACCCTGAAACCCTGAGGATGAACAGGGCAACCAACAAAATCAACAGGCCCACGAAGCTCAGCGCATCTGCGAACGCAATCACCTTGCAACTGCGATGCGATTTGCAATAGCTGGTCGTTTCCGTATACCAGTGACACAGGTTATTAAAATACCTCCGGATGTGGTTGGCGGCGGCGTCGAAGCAGTAGTTAGCCGTGGCGCAGGCGGTGGAAATGGAGTAGTTGGGGCCCATGAGACCAGTTATAAGCGTAACCGCACTGTACCCCTGGTTACCGATTACCGGTCACTGCTCGCACCTGCGGATGTGGTTTGCAGCGGCGTAGAAGCAGTAGTTGGCCGTGGCGCAGGCGGTGGAAATGGAGTAGTTGGGGCCCATGAGGCCGAGCTCGATGGCGAGCAGCGCGGAGCCCATGTTGGTGATGGCGTAGGGGATGAAGAAGGGCGTGATGCGCTTGTGCCCCTTCTCCAGTAGCGCCTTCACGCCGTCCGAATACACCGTCAGCCCGCCCATGCCCGACCCGATGATCACCCCCACCTTCTGCTTGTCCACCTGCGGAGGTCGGGGAGGGAGGGGACAAGGGATGAAACGGATGAAACAACACGGGGAATAGGGACACGAACTGAGTGCACCGTCCGCCGCAATGCCCGACCCGAGGATTACGCCCGTCCTCTGCAGTTGATTCAGCGAAGACAACGTGGGGTTGATGTGGAATTGACGAACCATTCTAATTTATATCATATTCTTAGCGCGATTTATTCAACGGTCCTCCACAAATTGCCAGGTCGTAAAGAAACGTGACAGACGATGCCAGCTCACGTAAGTACATGGGCCCCACAATTTAACCAGCATCACCGTGCAGTACCTTGCTCATGCATACCGCGACCACGTCATTCGTTGCTTCACGACTTACCTTATCCACCACGCCCACGTCATTCCTACTTTTACAACTTACCACGTCCACGTCACTCCTTGTCAGGAACATACCTTGTTCAAGTCATCTCCTCCGAGGCCAGCGTCGATGAGAGCCTTCTTGCCGCCGACGATCGCGTACCGCAGGCAATCGTCCAGCCGGCGGTCGTTCTTCCCGTCGATCAGGCCCTCGTTGGAGAAATTCCGGATTTGCGCGGCGAACTGGGTCGGGAACTTGGTGGCGTCGAAGCGGTCGATATAGTCAACCCCGCTAACGCCGGCGAGCAGCTTGTCGTAGTAGGTGTTCACGTCGTTGCCGAACACGGAGCAGAGGCCCATTCCCGTGATCACGACGCGCTTCTTCGGATCGGTTTCCCGTTTCGGCGCCGTCGCAGAAGCGCGAACGGCGGTAGTGGCTCTTCTTGCTGAAAAACGGGGGAGTAGATGCACCAGTTGTTAATACGCGTGGATACATTTCAGGAAATACACAAAAAACTCGTAAGCAGATTTGAAACCAGTAGACACCGAACAAGGCAAATGGAATAAAATCTGGCATGGTGACTATTTGAAATCGAGCGATACTAAGATGTGACCGTACACACGTGCTAGAGTCCACTGTCTCTGTACGGTTACGATCATCTCACGCTCCTAGATGATAACCTAAAGTCGCTAAGCTCCACAAAAACCGAATTCTTCGGCGATAACCTACCTTGCCTCTTGACGGAGACAACATCCTTCTGACGGAGCGCGCACCCCAGAAGGTCGGATTGCCTCAAGCTGGCTGAGGCCTCTGTTGCCAGAGAGCAGCTCTGGACGGAGGTGCTTAGCCCTGACCCAAGGCAAGTGGCCATGTCTGCGTGGTATATTTCAAAAGCTTAGTGATGCTTAGCAGACACGTGACCAGAGGAATTTGGATCAGGAATCCAGGTAACAGAAGTTCCTCAATCAGGCAAGCAAGAGCAATTACAGCTTCTGAAGGAAGAGCTGAGGAATATGGAGCAGTCTGATCAGGAAGGGAGACCAATGGCGTAAAAGGAATGCAACAGTTGGACAAGATGGGAGAATCCGGTTTGCCCGTCATACGTTAAAGTTTCATGGAACGACCTTGCTGAAGCAGGAAACGTTTCGGTGAAGCCTATTTCGAATTCCAGAACTCATACTCAGCACACAGGAGATTGGTTCTGTCTTGTTGCGTTGCGTTTCATATTATCGTGTTTCCTTCCACATCCGAAGCCAGGTCCCCATTGCAACTGCCAAGAATCAGAACCCCACTCCCAACCGCAACTCCCGACAGAGGGATTTGTGATGCTAGAACAAAACGGCGACCTCGAAAAATGCGAATCGCGGGCAGCGTGTTCGGAAAAAAACATTTCGTCACCCCAACAGAAAGTGCGTTCTGCGTGATTGAAGGTGGATGGTTCACGATGGTGATACATTTTCGCGAGGCTTGCTGGTTACCGAATTCGACTCCCGGAAGCCTTGGAGGCTCATCCACTTCGTGGGGTAATTGTCGCAAATGCTGACGGAAGCGGAAGGGTAAGGCCAAACACGTCAGGGGAAGTCTGATCGCGGACACGTCAGGATCAGCACAAGACATTCCATTCGGACAGGTGTCAAAAGGAAGACACCAGGTGACACAGACGGGAGTTGAGATAAGAGCCCATCGCTGGAAACGAGGACTCTTGTCAACAAGTAATGCTACGATGTTACAGCAAGGGAATTCCGAATAGAAATGTATGTAGAGCAGGATTTCACTTCGTGTATGTCAAGATGGCCCTACTATCTAAGAAAACAACGAACTACGTTTCTAGAGCGGACAACAAGTATGGCAATCAGGTTGGATGAACATGTGCTTCAGGACCTGGACTGTGCACAAACAGCAATGAGGAACAGAACAGATTTTCTGAAGGAACAATTCGGGCAGGATTAATAAGTGAGCTTTGACGTTATTACGGAAGCACAGAGCAGGTGAGGTTACACAAAATCGAAATGCAAGTTGTAGAAACATCATCAGGGCAGTTGAAAATGTAAATGAAAAAGACCAGAGGTCTACCAGACATATGTGCATCCCACGTGCCAAGATCCCTGCGCCTCCGCAAACCCCCAGGTTAAATTATCTCGTGTCGCTTTCCTGCAAATCACCCTGCGACTCGGAATCTCTGTCCTGTCGAACAAATGCCACCAGACATGGAAAGGCAAGAGCCGCACCAGACAGGACAGGAGACGCGGGTTGCAAGCAAGTCAACTGCATATAACCTCCCCGCTTTGCCATAGCCTGTCATCAGTAACGAAAGTGCAGTTCCTGGATTTTACATCACCTCCACCATTTCCCCACAGTCTGGTTGAGTTTAGTCCCTAATCTCGCTTCAACCTCACAACACGCTAGAATGGCTCGAGCTGCGGTTTTCGCGCTCACCCTCGCGCTGCTGCTCGTGGTGGCGCGCGCCGGCAGCCCCATTACAAGCTCGACGGCGAACGAGAAGCCCGACCAGAGCAGCAAGAAGGACGACGGTCTCATGACCGAAATCCCCGCGGCCATTGCGAAGCAGGCGGCGGCGGGCAACGCGGAGGGAGTGACATACGTTGACACGGCGCAGGACACGTTCTTCATGGCTGATGTGAAGAAGGCCGGGTGGAACGCGCAGAAATGCCCGCCGGGTTTGAACAAGGAGCTGGCGGGCGCGTGCACGCCCAAGAATTGCTCCAAGGGCGGCATTGCGGCCAAGTGGAAGACGGCGTACCTGCAGAAGAACAAGCTCGGGTACGAGCTGTACGTGCCGGGTAACCCGCTCACGCTGCTCAAGGCCAACCCTGCGTCGTGCTGCAACACGTGCGCCGCGACGCCGGCGTGCACGTACTGGCAGTACATTCCCGACATCACGATCGACGGCAAGAAGGGCAAGGGCGCGTGCTACCTGATCCACGACCAGATCGACTTCACGTGCGGAGAGATGACCGCGCAGTACAGCACGGAGACGAAGCCCGTGCCGCTTCAGGTGCGCATCGGCGGCGAGTGCAACCCGAGCGCCAAGATTCTCAACGACCCGCATCTGGTGGGCGCGCACGGCACGCACTTCGACTTCAACGGCCGCCCCGATAAGGCCTTCTGCCTGCTGACGGACCGCGACCTGCACGTGAACATGTTGCTGCGCGGGTACTACGACGAGCGCACCGACAACGCGGCGCTGGTCGTCGACGGCAAGGCCGTGCACACGTGGATCAAGGAGCTCGGCATTGTGTGGACCGCCAAGGGCGTCGACCACAAGATTCGCATCGCGGCGCGCGGCGGCAAGCAGCAGGAGCGCGGCGACGGGTTCGTGAAGAGCATAGAGATTGACGGTGAGGCGATCCCGCGCATGCAGGTGGGCGACAGCGTGACGAGCGACGGCGGGCTGACGATCCAGTTCCGCGCGCTGGAGAAGGAGGGGCCGTTCGATGTGGATTACTACCTGCTGACGATCGACGGCCTGATTTCGCTCGACCTCCGCCTGCGCGTGGCGCACCCGAAGCTGCAGACGCCGAGCGACGCCGAGGCGCACATTAACGTTGGCATTGCGGAGCTGGAGCACACCGACGCGATTCACGGCGTGCTCGGGCAGACGTACCGCGACGACCACGCGCAGCGCGCTGCGGACTTCCAGAAGCTGATCGCGAGCCTGCACCGTCCGATCTCCGCCGACAGCGCGGAGGGGCAAGGGTTCCTGGATGGCACTCCGCGGTCGTACGAGGCCAGCGACGTGCTTGCTGTGGACTGCGCTTACACCGCGTATGGCCGCGCCAGACAAGTGATGCCCGTGCAGGAACTCCCCTAAGCACTGACTCGGTGTCAGCATTTGCAGATGTATTGTAGAGTGGGATGGATTTCGTTTGGAAACCAGGTTATGCCACTATATTGTACTGTGCACACATACCGTTGCTACCTCATGTACACTAGCATTTGAACTGATTAATTGTTTTATTCAGCTTATTGTCAAATTGGCTCGTGGCCAAACTGAAAGCAGATAACCTGAGTTTAGATGGGTCTGGTTGGATCATCTAAAAAACAGACCTAGAGTCAAGAATAATAAATGTGTTGATTGACTAAGGTTGGTTGGGGTACATTAACTTAAAACCAGGGTGCACATTCAACGCGGTTCGGCTTGAGATGTTGGGAAGGGGGTTTGGAGAAAAACAGTGATTGGCTCACGAGGGGCGACAAAAAAATGATTCCGCTAGAGCTTCGGGCATTTCGTAGGTGGCGGGAGGGGGTGAAATGGCGGGAGTGGGTGAAACCGAATGGCGGGAGGGATGAAACAGATTGGCGGGAGGGGGGGGAAACGAAATTGCGGGGGAGGGGGGAAACAAAATTGCGGGGGAGGGGGGAAACGAATTTCGACGGGGAGGGGGAAATGAAATTGCGGGGGCGTGGGGAAACGAAATTGCGGGGGAGGGGGGAAACGAATTTCGACTTGAAGGGGTTGAAAGCACACCTCGTAACCCACTCAGTCAAGGGATAACCTTTGATGCACATTCAGCTGAATGTGCACCCCGGTTTTAACCTTAACAGTTGTACCCTCTACAACACATGTTGAGAACCATAGTAGTTAGGAAACTTAGGAGATTAGGAACTAGGGTTTTGGAGAGGTTCAGCAAGGAGAACCATGGAGAGGGAAGTTGGCCAAAAGAGTGGTTTCACTATGGAATGAATACAAGATATAGGAATGGGCAAAAGGGAGGGCACACCACCAGCAATTGATGCTAATACCTAAACTAGTACACTAGCTAGCTGTAGGCAGTTATAAGATATGCAATATAATTCAACACACCCCCGTAACTGCCTACGGCTATAGCTAGTGGTGCCTGGCACCAGGTCGCCTGGAGAGCGGTTGCTGTAGCTGGGATAGGCACAGAAACAGCGGTGGCTGACCGGCAGCACCTGTGAACGCCAGGACGGAGGAGGGCGCGGAGAGCGCGGAGGAGGGCTGGGATAGCCGGAGGGCGAAGGATGCTGGTCGCTCGCCATCTACGAGCAAACACAACTGTTGGTGAGGAGGAGGAAGCTGCTGGTGGTGCACAGGAGGAGAGCAAAGGAGAGGCGGCTGGAGGAGAGGAGATAGGAGGAGGAGATGCGGCTGGAGGAGAAGAGAGGAGGAGGAGATGCGGCTGGAGGAGAGGAGAGGAGGAGGAGATGCGGCTGGAGGAGAGGAGATAGGAGGAGGAGATGCGGCTGGAGGAGAGGAGAGGAGGAGGAGATGCGGCTGGAGGAGAGGAGAGGAGGAGGAGATGCGGCCGGAGGAGAGGAGAGGAGGAGGAGGAGAGGAAGTGCAGCGGAAGGAGGAGGAGAAGGGGGAGGCGGCTGCCTGCACATACCCGCCACCCCCACACCCTCTTCCCCCCCCCCCCCAAACGCGGCACGAACTGCAGATGCACGGGCAGCGATGAGGAGGAGGATTAGGGAGGGGCAGGAGGGTTCAAGGGGGCTTAAGCACCCCCGTAGCCGCGGGCGCGAGCCTCGCCACCTCCCCCCCGCAACGTCCACCGTAGAAGAGAGCGACGGCAGGTGCGGAGGCGGGGAGCGGGGTGGCGATGGCAGGGGCGCTGGCGGCCGCTGCTGGCGCTGGCGCTCGCGACCGGCGCTGGCGCATGCCGCTGGCGCTGGCACTGACGCTGGCGCTGGCGCTGTGGACCGGCGCTGGAGCTGGCGCTGGCGCTCGCGACAGTCGCTGGCGCTGGCGCACGTCGCTGGCGCTCGCGCTGGCGTCAGCGACGGTCAGAGGCGCTGGTGCTGGCGTCCGCGACCAGCGACGGGGCGACGCGACAGCGCGCGGGACGGGGCGACCAGCGCGTGGGGCGGGTAGCACGGGGCGTTCAGCGCGGGGCAGGCAACGGGCGAGCGCCTCGAAGGGCGCAGCAACGGTCGCCATGGCAACGATGGCAGCCATGGCGAATGAAAAATAACAAGGTCCTTAGAAGGACCCAGCTCTTAATACCATGTTGAGAACCATAGTAGTTAGGAAACTTAGGAGATTAGGAACTAGGGTTTTGGAGAGGTTCAGCAAGGAGAACCATGGAGAGGGAAGTTGGCCAAAAGAGTGGTTTCACTATGGAATGAATACAAGATATAGGAATGGGCAAAAGGGAGGGCACACCACCAGCAATTGATGCTAATACCTAAACTAGTACACTAGCTAGCTGTAGGCAGTTATAAGATATGCAATATAATTCAACAACACACATCACTAAGACTACAACATTTGACACACCCCCATAGTCAAGTGAGGGGTGTCAAGCAAAACCAAAAGTGTACGGTCACAAGACCAGTCACAAGGAAACAAAGCTCAGGGTGGAGCACAAGCACAAGACTAGCCACAAGGCTAGTTCAAGAGTTCACATAGAGGGGTTTCTGGTATGTGGTTTGTGGCATGGCTGACACAATGTAGCATGGCACAAAATACATCGTCGGCTCTTTCCCTCAGGTGTACGTGGCAAGAATGGCGGGGAGGGGAGGTGCTTTTTGCAGATATTAAATGGGGTGTATTTTGACGCGCCTTAAAATGCACCGCAAGAAGGGCGGGGAGGGGAGGGAGGTGCTTTGGCACTAGTATTAAATGAAACGGGACCATATGATGTGATGTGACGTGGCATGGCACCAAGGTACTCTCTTCTCGGTTCTCTCCGTGGATTGCATACAAGGCAATACATGGCATGCAGTCTCCACCATGTCGTTGAGAAGCTTATAGCACGTGTAGGGACTCTGTGGAAGTAACAACTGCGTACAATTCGGCTAAGAAACATGTAGGCTGGCTGCAGCCCCACCGGGTCATTGAGAAACATGTAGAATGCGTAAGCCCTCCTTGCTAGGATTTCAGTGGAAGTAAGAATGGGAGACAGATTGGGAAGGAGTCGATGATCATAGATAGTAAGGAACTAAACACGTAAGCTGTCTGCAGCTGGGTCGTTGAGAAGCCTCTATTGCATATAAGGGCTCTTCGTTAGGACCTCTATTGATGAAACAGGCGGACACTAAAGGAAACAGAAGTGCCGCTCGCAACCGCATTAGGCTATTCAGCAGCCTGTATGCACAATATATGCTTCCCGCGATGACCTCTGTTGGAGGAACAGTAGGATGTCAAATAATGTAGCCTGTAGTGAGGCTTGTCTTAGGGGGTACAAATATTAGGGTTTGCTACGGTATATGTACCCCAACCAACATCAATGAACACACAATTCAGTTTCTGACATGGTATCACCTAGGTTAAGGATCCCGTTCCTCGTGCCCGAGAATCCCGAGCCTCACGCATCTCACCCGTCCCGTCCTGTCTCGTAGCGCTGCAGTAGCGCCCCTTTCGTATGCCTGTCCGCCGCGCGCCTACCCTAAGCGCCCGCCAGCGGACCTGCCCTTAGCGCCCGCCGCGCGCCTGCCCTTTGCGCCGCCGCGTCTGCCCTTAGCGCCCGCTGCGCCTGCCCGTTAGGCCTCTGCCGCGCCCGCCCGTCAGGCCCGCTGCCGCGACTGCCCGTTAGGCCTGCTGCCTACCCGCCTCGCCTGCCCGTTAGGCCCGCCGCGCCTGCCCGTTAGGCCCGCCGCGCCCGCCCGTCAGGCTCGCCTCGGGCCCTGCCTTCGCGCTGCCGCGCCTACCCGTTACGCCCGCTGCCGCGCCCGCCCGTCAGGCCCGCCGCGGGCCCTGCCTTTGCGCCGCCGTGCATGCCCGTTCGCCGCTGCTGCGCCCGCCCGTCAGGCCCGCTGCCGCGCCTGCCCGTTAGGCCCGCTGTCGCGCCCGCCCGTCAGGCCAGCCGCGGGCCCTGCCTTCGCGCCGCTGCGCCTGCCCGTTACACCAGCCGCCGCGCCCGCCCGTCAGGCCCGCCGCGGGCCCTGCCTTCGCGCCGCCGTGCATGCCCGTTTGCCCCTGCCGCGCCTGTCAGCTATGCCCCCCGCGGGCCCGCCCCTTGCGCCCGCCGTGCCTGCGTTTTGCGCCCGCCGGGGGCCTGCACTCGCTACCCGCCATCTCTCCCAGTGACACCCGCCGCGCCTGCCCGTGCGACCTGCCGCGCCTGCCCTTAGAGCCTGCCGCGGCCCTGCCCTACCTGCCCACCTTGCCTGCCCGTGCTCGTTGCAAGCCTGCCCTTAGAGCTCGCCACGCCGGCCCTTCGCGTCCCTCTAGCGGCTGCCGCGTGCCTACTTTTGCTCGCGCGCCTGCCCTGGGCACGCCCACGCGCCTCTCGCCCAACCGCTTGTCTCCTTGCCGTGCTTGTCGCCCTGCCCTCGCCTACCACTGCGCCCTGCCGGCCTTGTAGTTTCTGATTTCGCTATGACGACCCCTAGGGTCCTTCGCTTTGACGCCGAGGGTAGGCCCTTCGAGTTCTCTGTCTGGCTCCAGCGTGCGCAGCGTCTCCTAGAGAGTCAGGTACAGGCGAACGATTCCCTGTGGGCGCACGCTTCCGGTGAACTCCGCGCACCCCCCGATCCTGATACCCTAGGCCTTGACGCTACTCATGAGGACAGAGAGCGTGTTGCGCGTCAGCGTGCTGACTTGACAGCCTGGAGATCACGCAACGCTGCGCTCCCTCAGCAACCTCCTCCCTGCGTCCGAGGAGACCCATTTCTCACAGGTTCGCATGGCTAGAGAGTTCCCGACTGCGATCAAGGCCCGCTATGCTACTCCTTCCACAGTCTCTCTTGGTCGCCTGTTTCTCCCCTTCCTGTTTCCTGACCTCGCCTCGTTTGAGCGCTTTGCTGACCTGATCGCTCACCTGTGCTCACTGGACTCTAGCTTTCACGCTGCCTGCACCGACGCACAGCTTGCACTGCTACCTCCTTCCATGCCGATCACAATCTATTTTATCGCCACTAGCCTCCCTGACCGCCTTGCTTCGGTTCGTGACGCACTCCTCCTGAAGCATCCTAGCGAGCTCACTATCGGCGTCCTCGAGTCTGCTCTCAAGGACGTCGAGAGCAACCTCCGTTCAGTAGCCTCTGCCTCTGGTGCTTTGCCCCCTCCACTGTTTCACGGGTGCAATGTCCCTCAGCTGCCCACCTTTACTGCCTCCCTCGCCACTGCCGCTACTGACGTGACCGCAGCTGCTGTTACGACTTCTTCGCGGTCTCGGGGTAGGAGTGGCAGGAGGGGCGGTCAGGGTGCGGGCGGAGATGGCGGAGGCGGTGAGGGTGACGTGGCGAGCGGTGGCGGCGGGAGTGCAGGGGCTGGAGGATCGCCTCGTGCGGCGGCCTGTGACTCCCCTTCTGCAGCTGGTGGAGGTGACGCCCGGGTTCATCAGCCACCTATTGGTCTGCCAGCCGCAGGGGGTGGAGCAGCGGCGTGGTACCTCGCTCCGCGACAGCAGCAGCAGCCCCTCCCCTCGCAGCAGCCACAGCGACAGCAGCGGCAACAACTGTCAAATGTTATATCTGCTACAGTTTGTTTAGGCTGTAGTGGGGTAGTTACTATGGGGTACAGTAAGTTTAGGGTTTCCTACTTGTACCCAACTCTTTCCTAGTGCAATCACTCTTGTTCATTCTGACATGGTATCACGAGCCTAGGTTGCCACCTAGGACCGCTTACTACTACGGGCCCACTATTCCGCTAGAAGCGCCCTCGTGCGCCCTACCTTACGTGCGCCCTTGTGCGCCTTTCTCTGCTCGTGCGCCCTCGTGCGCCCTTTTTCTTTCTGCTAGTGGGCCCTCGCGCGCCCCGCCCTTCGTTCTTCCTGCGCTCCGTCCTGCAGCCCTTGCGCTGCCTCCTGCTGCCCTAGGCCAGTGCGCCGCTCCTGCAAGCTAGTAGGGCCCTCGAGCCGCCCCTGCAGGTCCGTCAGGCCCCCGAGCCGCCTCTGCAGGCCCGTCAGGCCCCTGAGCCGCCTCTGCAGGCCCGTCAGGCCCGAGAGCCGCCCCTGCAGGCCCGTCAGGTCGGCGCGCTGCCCCTGCAGGACCACGCCGCCCGAGCGCAGCCTCTGCCCGACCGCGCGCCGCCCCTGCAGGCCCTCGCCGCCCGAACACAGCCTCTGCAGGCCCGTCAGGCCAGCGCGCGACCCCGTCAGGTCGCAGTCGCGGCCCCGTCAGGCCGCAGTCGCGGCCCCGTCAGGCCGCAGTCGCGGCCCCGTCAGGCCGCAGTCGCGGCCCCGTCAGGTCGCAGTCGCGGCCCCGTCAGGCCGCAGTCGCGGCCCCGTCAGGCCGCAGTCGCGGCCCCGCCCTGCCGTGACGCGGCCCCGCCAGCCCTGGAGCTGACGCGACCGCGCCCTCCTGCTGACGCGGCCGCGCCCTACTACTGACGCGGCCGCGCCCAGCTGCTGACGCGGCGTCGCCCCTGCCCGCCGCGTCGCCCTGCTCGCCACGTCGCCCCTGCCCGCGGCGTCGCCCCTGCCCGCCGCGTCGCCCTGCTCGCCGCGTCGCCCCTCCCGCGGCGTCGCCCCTGCCCTACTCCGCGCCGGGCCCCTGGAGCAGCCGCCCCTGGAGCAGCCGCCTCTGGAGCAGCCGCCACTGCAGCAGCCGCCCCTGGCCCCTGGAGCGGCCGCCCCTGCAGCAGCCGCCCCTGACCACTGGAGCGGCCGCCCCTGCAGCAGCCGCCCCTGGCCACTGGAGCAGCCGCCAGTGCAGGAGCCGCCCCTGGCCCCTGGAGCAGCCGCCCCTGCAGCAGCCGCCCCTGGCCCCTGGAGCAGCCGCCACTCCTGCAGCCGCCCCTGGCCCCTGGAGCAGCCGCACCTGCAGCCGCCCCTGGCCCCTGGAGCGGCCGCCCCTGCAGCAGCCGCCCCTGGCCACTGGAGCAGCCGCCACTGCAGGAGCTGCCCCTGGCCCCTGGAGCAGCCGCCCCTGCAGCAGCGACCGTCGCAGCCCTGTCCCTGCCCTGCACCAGCCGCCGTCACGGCCCGGTCCTGCCCTGCACCAACTGCCGCGGAGCTTCCTGCCGCGGTCGCGGCCTCGCCCTGCCGCTGTAGCGGCCCCGTAGTCGCCTCCGTCGTGCGCTTGCCCTTCCCACCACTGGTGAGCACTGCCCTGCCCCTGCTGCTACTGCTACTGCTGCTCCTGCTACTCCTGCTTCTACTACTGCTCCTGGCGTGGCCAGATGCAGCTCCAGGGCCGTCCGCGTGTGTCCCTCACGCCCCAGCAGCTTCGTGAGTGGTATGCCAGTTGGGGTTGTCGGGGTGGCAGTAGTGGGAGTCGTCCTGGAGTGGGTAGTTCGGGAGCTTCTTGTAGTGGCCCTGTGCAGCAGCAGCGTCGTCCGCGCGAGACTCTTTCGCCCCAGCAGCTTCGTGAGTGGTACGCTCAGAGTAGAGGGTCGCTGAGTAGTGCTCGCTGCCCATACGTTATTAGCACGGGTGTCCGGACTGGTCAGCCTTGCGGGACGCGTGGTCACACAGAGTCCCGCTGCTTCGCCCGTCTGAGCGACGCTTGGCGTACAGAGTTTGGCGACGACGCTTAGCTCCCCGACTGGGTGGAGCTGCTTAGGCAGAGGGTAGATATCTTTGCTCTTGACTATGATGCTATTCTCACTGCAATGTATGCATTGTCTACTAGTGCCGAGGGAGCCTGTCACCTGTGTGTGCCGCCTGACCCCGGTATCCAGTCTGCTGCTCCAGGTGCAGGTGAGGCTGCCGCTTTAGGTGCTAGTGCGTCTGCTGCCCCTGGTCCTAGTGAGGCTGCTGCTCTAGGTGCAGGTGTGTCTGCTGCTTCAGGTGCTTGTGAGTCTGCGCCTACAGGTACTGCGTCTACTGAGGCACTGCACACCTTCACACTGGACTCAGGTGCTTCCCGCTGTTTCTTTCGCGACCGCACTGCCCTCGAGCAGCTCCCTAGGCCGGTTGCTGTCTCCCTGGCTGACCCCTCCGGGGGGTCCGGTCCTTGCGACCTCCACCACTGCCCTCCCTTGTCCTGCTGTCCCGTCCGGCACACTGTCGGGCCTTTACCTCCCCTCGTTCTCTACGAACTTGGCGGCGGGTTCTGCGCTCCAGGACGCGGGTGTTCACCAGTTCACCCCTGCCTACGAGCGTGTGACACACTGCACGTGTGCCCAGACGGGTCGTCACCTGGCTACCTTCACTCGGCAGCCGGGGTCGGACTTGTACACACTGACCACTGAGTCCCCTCAGGTAGCGGCGTCTGCGTCTGCGTCAGGTCAGTTGTCCGCCCCCTGCTCGTGTCGCACCCTGTCGCACCGGACGGTCCTCTGGCACCACCACCTTGGGCACCCTTCGATGCAGCGCCTTCGTGGCATGCACTCTCGTTTCCTTGTCTCTGGTCTCCCCAGGTCACTGCCTCCCCTGCCACCATCCCCTGCCCCTCCTTGCCTTCCCTGTGTCGAGGGGCGGCAGCGTGCCACTCCTCACTCCTCTGAGTTCCCCTCGACGGAGGCTCCTCTGCAGACCCTTCACATGGACGTGTGGGGCCCAGCCCGCGTCCGTGGACAGGGCGGAGAGCGCTACTTCCTGCTGGTAGTTGACGACTACACGCGTTACACCACGGTCTTCCCCTTGAGCACCAAGGGAGAGGTCCCTGCTGTCTTGATCCCTTGGATCCGCGCTACTCGTCTCCAGCTGGAGAGGCGCTTTCGCACGGACCTTCCCGTCCTGCGACTGCACTCTGACAGAGGTGGTGAGTTTTCCTCCGGCCTCTTGGAGGCCTTCTGTCAGGGGGAGGGCATTGAGCAGACGTTCACGCTTCCGGCCTCTCCTCAGCAGAATGGGGTTGCTGAGCGCCGCATTGGCTTGGTCATGGAGGTGGCTCGTACCTCCTTGATCCATGCGGCTGCCCCCCATTTTCTGTGGCCGTTTGCGGTCCGGTACGCCGCGCATCAGCTCAACCTCTGGCCCCGTGTCTCCGTTCCGGAGACCTCGCCGACACTGCGTTGGACGGGAGCGGTTGGCGATGCGTCTGTGTTCCGTGTCTGGGGATCTCGTGCCTTTGTCCGCGATACGTCCGCGGACAAGCTCTCCTCCCGTGCCGTTCCTTCTGTCTTCCTGGGCTTTGTTCCTGACGCGCCTGGCTGGCAGTTTTACCACCCCACCTCGCGCCGTGTCTTCCCCTCTCAGG